TATCGTCACGGCGCTGGTGCCCAACTGCTACATCAGATGCAGTCAAATGCAATTCATCAACAAGTAAATTTCTTCGTATCTGTTTTGATAATTGTTTAAGTTTTTTGCCCAAATATCATCTGATGTCTAGGCCCGCATATTGCGGAATTTTGTGCCAATTCCACTTCCTTTTTATGACTGGCATAAGACTGTATTGGAACCCATGGAGCTGCCTCCAATATTGTCTGGAGTGAAGACACCTTGTAAAGTATGTATAGGAGCGATATCTTGTAAATTTCGAACATAACGATCTGTTTTAGCAAAGCTTTACATTTTTGTTGCCAAGAGAATATTTCCTCAATTGGTCCAGCAACGCGCCATTACCACGGTATGAAATGCAACTCAGGTGAGTTGAAGGATTTTTTTTAATATGTTGGATATATCATTCGAATGCAAAAACCAGTGTTTTTACCTTTCTAGATTCTTCCAAGTGCCTGAAAACTACGCTTCACAAGAATTACCGGATGATTTTCCCCTTAACTGTGTAGCTCGGATAGAGGAGCAGCATATACAACTACCGGCAAGTTTTTATCCTGCTTAGACTCATTTCTGCAAAGAATAGGAAGTTTTGGTTGTATACATTTCCTTTATTATTGTATTGTTACCTCTAAATAATCGAGTTTCTGTGCATAACCCCTTCGTGCACTCTCATTTAAGTGCACGTTTTAGGCTCTAATCCCGACCAATAAGCCAAATGTAGAGCCAAAGCGACCATCACGGCCTGTAGATATCACCCAATACTGCTTAAATGTTCGCGATCATACTCGACCCATGCGCTTGATGGTTGAGTGGACGGGTGATAAGAGAGCGTGGGCAGTTGCCATCTACTTGGTATAGTCTTTTGCTTATTGATGAATTTAGTTATGGATGTCTATTCATCCTTCAGGTCTATCGAATAACTTCGGAGATTCTCCGAGATCGAGCAACGGGTGCAGCAAAAAGTTCTTCAAATGGGGATTGCACAGTCAACGAGAGGCCGGTGGGTGGTTTTTTAGTGTTCAAGTTGGAGTATAGCTCTGAAATGCTGCATTTAAAACTTTTCTCTTTCAGAATCACCGCCAGGAGGAGAGCATTACAAGAGACGTGATCCGAGCACGGTTAGGTGGTGGCAATGACGATGACATTGCTATGGACCAACTCAAAATCAGTTTACTGTGTCCGGTAAGGATAGCCATTAAAACGCTTCGTTGACATGACAGCAGAAGTTTTAGGTGAAGTTAATTAGAGGGTTAAGCTGAAGCCTTTCAGTGTGCGACGCGTGGAAACCTTTAGAATAATTTCTTTAAGAAGTTGAGTGAGTATTTCACTTCACTGGACTTT